AAAAAAAAAAAAGAAAGAAAAAAATTAGCTGGCTGTGGTGGCCCAAGCCTGTAGTCCCAGCTACTCTGCTGGCTGAGGCAGGATAATTGATTGAACCTAGGAGGCGGAGGTTGCAGTGAGCGAAGATCATGTCACTGCACTCCAGCCTGGTGACAGAGCAAAACTGTGTCAAAAAAAAAAAAAAAGAAAGAAAGAAAGAAAGAAAGAAAAGAAAGGGGTTATGCAATTTTGAGTTGGGCTGTTAAGATGGGTTGGGTTGGTTCCCGCCTAGGCCTATGCCAATATGACAACATACGAGAGGGGTGGGAAATAAGTTTCACCAAAGTGCTCCATTTAATGTCTACCTAATGTCCTCGGTTGAAGAGAGTTCTGAGACCATGTCCAAACTCTCGGAGAAAAACATTTGTGATCAATTAGTTTATGTCCACTTTCTGTAAAGAGCATGAGTGTGTATAGCCATGTTTGCCATCTCTGTTCGAGAAAATTCAGTGAGTTGATTCTGACCTGCATTTTCATGTAAAGCTGTTTCCATAACTTTCTGTTCGTGTTCAGTGACTAAATCTTGAACCCCATCCAGTTATTGTACATGACAAGCTGCTGGTGTGAAGAAGAAACAAGAGCATAGTTGAACATAAGGTGCATTCTTAGAAAATAACTCAGAATATTTACGAGTAGCATTTCTCTAATACAGGGCAATACTTTGCAGATGTAGACATTTAGATAGCTGTGAGATAATTTGCTGCTATAGCTATAATTAAAAGTGACAAAAAAGTTGACATGTGATCTTACAAGACAATGCAATAATAGACCTCAACGTACAACCTTCTATTTAAAACATGACCTGTTGCATGTCGCATTGTTTTTGAGTAGGACTGACTTTGAATCCCTCTCAATAAATTATTGCCCAGATTCACGTCTTCCACTAGTCAACCACAGGATTTCCCCATCAGGGCATGTAAAGCGAGACATTAGGTGTGTGTGATTTGTATGAATTGCAGTTTGCTGGGATCTGTGTGAAAGGCTGTCAAAAGGGATGTTGCCTTAAATCTAAAAGTACTCGGCTGTGGGCATTTTGGCATTGTCCCTTCTCAGAAATGAAGGTATGAGATTTAAGGTATTTCTGAGGAATTTTAAATAATTGCTAGAATCAATTTGAGTTCTGTGAAAACCTGTACACATCTTCAGAGTGAAAACAAAGGACTATTCATATGGATTATCCCTTGCCAAATTGGGCATGTGAAAGCTTATAAGAATTTGCTTATGTACCTTAATATGGTGAATTAATGCCTTAAGAATATAACTCCTTCAAATGCCTTAAATTTCAAGAGGGTTTTACTAACCATGTTTTCTTTTAAGAATGTGATGCATTTGGAACAATACAGGTGGGCAAATGACTCTTTAAGCATTGTGCTTGGCACCAAAGAGGAATTAAAATACAAGGTTTACAGATTGTGTATGCTAATACATCAACAAAGCTAGAAAGTGGAAAGATCAGTGCTGGTATTTTCTCCCACGTTGAGCAACTGTAACAAGTGTACATTTCTCTAAATGGAATGGGCACATCATTTTGGTCTGATTCATCTTCGCAAATAGAGGTGAATTAAAAATGGGTTGAGAAAACTTAGTCTCAGAGTGCGTTGAAATCAGCAGAGTTCTCCAAGTTGTGGATGAACAAGAGAGTTAAGGGCATTTTTCATTATATTATGCAATGTGCTTTCCATATGTAATACATTCCTCCTAGACTTTAGCAATAAGATAGCATTTCCCTTTTCAAATGAACTACATACCTTCCTTTATAAGACAGTAAGGCTTCACATTTCCCTTGTTGCATTGACTGCCAGGAATCTCAGGGCTATATTTAGTACTCAATATCAGAAACAATATCATTCTAGCTTCCTGGCACAATACTGCGGTTTTTTCCCTAGGTGATTTCTGTTCTGCCTCAAAATGATTGCTACTTTACAAGTGCTATAAAATTGTAAGTCACTTTAAATCCTTTGTAAGGATATAAAATAAAAATATCTAAGAGTTGTTGAATAATATCTATGTTCTTTGAACTTAAGATCTGAAGAAAAAAATCCAGAAATTTGGGCTATCAGGATTGTCCAAATAGTTGTAAAACTGAACTTAAATGTGGCAGGGGCAGGGTTGTTGTGTGGAAATGAAAGTTTAAGAATAAAGCTGAGTCCATCATTATTCCTTACGCACTCAAGACACTGCTGGCATCTCTTGTCTTTTCACATGGAACCTTGCCACTACCCTGCCATGGACCTCATGTCTGTCCATGTTTCACCTGTATTAATCCAGTATCTTTGGAAGCTTTGCTCAAACGCCGACTCCTTCTTGAAATTTCTGTGTAGATACTCTTGCTGCTAGATGCTTTCTAATTCCCCTGATACTTATTTTTCCACTAATACTCCTTTATCATTCACGTGATTATTATTCACCCATATTCATCTTATCTCGCCACCCAGCTCCTAGACCATTCCTTTTCCATCTGCCTACGTATTGGATCATCAGAGGGATATAGAAAATCCCACTCCCAGAGATTCTAATTTGTTTGATCTGAGGTGCAGTCTGAGCATTGTAATTTTTGAAATCTTTGTGGATGATTGTATCTGAAGCCACAATTGGTAAGGTTAAGCCACTGTGTTTATAAAGTTAATATCATTTTTAGTCATCTTTCTTTGCTCTAAGACCAGTATCTTACACCTAGTAGGTGTTTGAAAAATATTTATTGATATATCTGACAGAGCAGCTGTTGAGAAATCTTTCATTCTGTCAGCCTGATAATCTTTAGAGAAGTATGCTTAATTTTGTCTCATTCATTCTTTTCTTTATACGGCAAGTATGCATTATACAATCTTAGTGTAAAATAAATGCTTGTGAAGAAGTCCACCCTTGGCCTGACCTCCAGGGAACACTGTATATAAAAGTTCAAGTCAGGCTAGGTGCAGTGGTTTGTATGTGTAATCCCAGCACTTTGGGAGGCTGAGGCAGGAGGATCGCTTGAGTCCAGAAGTTTGAGACCATCCTGAGCAATGTAGTGAGATCCTATCTCTACAAGTTTTTTTTTTTTTTTCTTTCAATTAGGTAGGCATGGTGGCATGCACTTATAGTCTTAGCTACTTTGGAAGCTGTGGTGGGAGGAATGCTTAACCCCATGAGTTTGAGGCTGCAGTAACATGTATGAACATGCCACTACACTCCAGGAAGGAGACCCGATCTCACACACATACACAAAAAAATTATCAAGTTATCTCTTGTTCTACTGCTACTGTTGTTAATTGCTGTGTTCCTACTGTGTGCCAGACACTGTTCCAGGTATTTTTTACTATGTATGTTGGCATACTTAATGGCAACACAGCACCATTTTTGTTTTACAATTAACAGAGCTAGAGAATGCATGTCCAGTTTCAGCTCTGAGGCTGGGATTCACACCCACGTGTGCCTGACTCCAAATCCAGCATTCTTTGCACATACCAGGCCACTGCTAAAGGCCTATGCATATGACTACTGTTTTATATGTATATGTTTACTATGCATTATCACAAAAAGTTTAATTTTAGGCTTACCTTTTCAAGCTGCCTTTCCAGTGGCTTGAAGACATAGTGGTCATCAGATGTCATTTGTGGGATTCATTCACTCATCTTACAAATACGCTGTTTGATGATAGTTGGTCACAAATACCTCTAGACAACTGCTTCTTCCAGCGCCTTCAAGACCTCAGCAGTGGTGGACAGCCTGAGTATGGCCAGTTTGCTGGCTGACATAGTAGGTGGAATCGGAAAAACACCCTCTCATTCTGATTCTTTAGTTGCAAATGTAGGGACACACTCTTTGGCCCTCTATGAATAATGTCAAAGAAAGGTATTTTATTTTATTTTATTTTATTTTTGAGACAGTCTCACTCTGTCACCAGGCGCCTGGCTGGAGTGCAGTGGCATGATCTTGGTTCACTACAACCTCCACCTCCCAGGTTCAAGCAATTCTCCGCCTCAGCCTCCCAAATAGCTGGGACTACAGGTGCGTGCCACCACACCCACCTAGTTTTTGTATTGTTAGTAGAGACGGGGTTTCACCATGTTGGCCATGATGGTCTCGATCTCTTGACCTCGTGATCCGCCTGCCTCAGCCTCCCAAAGTGCTGGGGTTACAGGTGTTAGCCACCATCCCCGGCCTTGAAAGGTTTTTAAATTGCAAATGAACAATCAACAAAAACAAAACAAAACAAAAACATGTATTATATTGAAAATAGCAGAGGCTTAGTCTTGCCTCCCACCATGCCCCAGCCTCTTATACACATGCACGCACACACAGACACTCTAAGGTGCTTTTATTAAGCTTGTCTTCATTACCGATGTTTTTCCACCTCTCTACAGTGCTAGAAGCAGGAGCTTGCCCATGGGTAAGATGCTTTTAAAAATAACAGCTATGAACACAACAAGATTCCAGAGAAAAGAATTCTCTTACCTATGGGCAAGAGAAAAATTGTATTTATTATTCACAATTTTATCTGTCCATAATATATAATCTTTCTCTCTCTTCCCTGTTTCTTTTGCTATCTTCAGTTCCTCCAAATTAGATGACTTCAACAATCCACTAGCATGGTTTGTCTCCTTATGATACCAGGGTATTTATTCAAGTTATTTGGAGATGCTTTATTTCAATGCATATTTCAAACAGCATTTCTCACGAAGCGTGTCAACACAGAGGTTGCGCCCCAGTAAGAAGGGGTATAATACTTCGAATGTTCCTTTAGAGTCATTACCACATACTGAAACTTCAGTGAATTCAAACAAAACTACCGTGGTTATTTTAGGTTAATCTCACTGATTGAAAATGAAAGCTAGTGTTCCTTTTTTTCTCTTTGATGCAGTTGTGTGTGATATTAATATTTGCACGGTGATGTCTCTTTTCCTGTTACTATCTTCAGACATATAATTGTAAAACAAAAACAGCCTATTGATGAATATTTAAATTGACTGGTGTGATCAGATACTTCTTTAATTTAAATCCCTATCTATCTATCTATCTATCTATCTATGTTTTTTGAGACGGAGCCTCGCTCTGTCACCAGGCTGGAGTGCAGTGATGCAATCTCAGCTCCCTGCAACCTCCGCATCCTGCGTTCAAGTGATTCTCCTGCCTCAGCCTCCCGAGAAGCTGGGACTACAGGTGCACACCACCAAGCCCAGCTAATTTTTGCATTTTTAGTAGAGACGAGGTTTCACCATGTTGGCCAGATGGTTTCAATCTCTTGACCTCGTGATCTGCCCACCTCAGTCTCCCAAAGTGCTGGGATTACAGGCGTGTGCCATTAAATCCATATTTTTAAAGACATTTTTTCAGTGTTTGGGCCTTCTTGGCAGGGTTCTTTTCCATAGGCCATTACTTCTTTCTACACTAAAGGCTTGCTTTGTGTGCCCACTGAGCCAATCTACTTACAAAAGGCAACAGATAAGCCTTCTCTTCTTTTTTTTTTATAAATGAAAAGTTCAAGACTTTTAGCTTCTAAGGAACCAGAAGGGCCAATACAATATTTGATAGGCATAGAATCAAATTTAACTAAGAAAGGAACAGTGTAGTGGGAGTATTTTACCATGTGTAACCATCATCAGAAGGAGAGGCTGGAAAAGTAGCAACCTTGAATGGCAGCTCCTGAAGGGTTTGGTAAGGCTTTATTTTATGGATTGGAGAACCAAATAGGGCTTTCACTCTGTAGAATGACGTTATGGTTTAGGAAGGTAACACGTGTGATGGTTATGACACATGGATTAGAAACAACATAGAAAGTGGTCTCACTCAAAGTGTTTCCTAGACCAGAACCCATAGATTAAAAATGTGAATTCTCAGACCCCTACACAGACCTCCTAAATCAGACCCTGGGGGAGTATCTGGTAGTCAGTGTGTTCACAATCACTCCGGGTGATTCTGTTGCACACTAAATTTTGAAAACCACTAGACTGGAAGCGGAAAGACTTGATTTGAAGTAGACACAATTCACAAATTGTGTCTAAATTACTCTGTATCCAGCATATAGTAGGTACTCAATACATTACTTTGCATTTGTCAGCTGATGGTGATAAGCACCTAAGCTAGTAGAGGAAAAGCATAATATGAGAACCAAGAAAGATTTTAGTTCCATTTGTGATTCAGTCAAGGGTGGAATCGGCTCTTAGTGAATGTGATTTTATAAATAATTTAATGTTGTTTTATTTGACAATTTTCTTCCTTTTCTAGTAGTTGCTCATTACAAACTCAAAATAAAAAAGGAGGGAAATGTTGGTAGCTTATACCTGCTTCTACAGAGGTCCCAGATGCATCTCCTCCACCTGAAATAAATCACTTGGTTATGTAATCAACAAGGTGGCATCAGTGTGGCAGGGAATGGTAGCTTAAGTTCTAAGACCAGCAGAAGATATGACAGTGGTTGTGGTTTTAGCAACTGCACTGAAATATCTTATAAAGTATATATATATATTAAAAATAAATATTGAGGATATAGTTGTATGTAGCATATAAATTTATCATTTAAATAAAATATTTTAGACTTGAATATAGGGGTTTCTCACAGAAATGCAGTCTACTGCTATAGTGCGTGTTGTCTGGGAAAATTGGAAATAAACTGCTGCATTTTGGTTCTCAGCAATTTTAGAAGGAATATAACTTTCCATTCCTCCCATTTGGTCTTTCTATGCTTTCTTTATCAAATGTTTAAAAATATATGTGTGGGCCGGGCGTGGTGGCTCACGCCTATAATCCCAGCATTTTGGAGACCAAGGCGGGTGGATCACAAGGTCAAGAGTTCGAGACCAGCCTGGCCAATATGGTGAAACCTTCTCTTTACTAAAAATGCAAAAGTTAGCCAGGTGTGGTGGCAGGCGCCTGTAGTCCCAGCTAGTCTGGAGGCTGAGGCAGGAGAATTGCTTGAACCCGGGAGGCAGAGGTTGCAGTGAGCCGAGATCCCGCCATTGCACTCCAGCTTGGACGGCAGAGCCAGACTCCATCTAAAAAAAAAAAAAAAAAAAAAAAAATTGTATGTATTTAAATAGAAACTATTTTCTTTTCGTCAATGGAATAAAAGCAATACATTCCTCTTTTTCTCCCTTATATTTGATGTGTATTTATTTTAAGCTCTGAAATGGCCTAAGTTACACAAGAGACATCCAATTATCTTTCCTTAAAGGATGAGGTCTTAGAGTGCTCACATTTCCCCTTCTTCTTCCTACATAAATGTTACTTGTGTGGGGTCACCTGGCAATCAATCAAAGCAGTCTTGGATGCAAGAGACCTCATTTCAGCTGGTCTTTGGTTGGCTAGAGGCTCTAAAAAATGGCATTTGCTTGCATTTCCAGTACAAATGGGTATTATAACATTTGCCTTGAATTCCCTTTTTTGGGAGTGGTGGTGGTGGTAAGGAATGGCTGAGTTGGTTAATTCAGTCAAATCATTATGACAACTCAGTTTAGCTCCTTAAAGGAAAGATACGTCATAAGTTAATATACATCCTACATATTTTATTCTGTGAATGTGCCTTGTAGTGCTAAAAATTTGGAAGTCTTCTGGGCAAAATGGTGTGAAGACTAAGAAACTAAGGTTATTTAAAAATGTTAAAATAATACCATAATTACTGTTTTACCCTTTCTAATGTTTTAATCCTCATTCCTCACTTTGAACAACAATTCATTCCTATGGGAACAGCTTGAGTAGTGCTTGATGTCTTAGAAGACACTTAGTTTATTTGGGGTTGTACATGAAAAAAGCAGGAAGCTATAGTGCCACGCTCCAACATAAGGAGATATTCCTGATTTTGTTTTCTCAAATCTTAGGAATTTATGTGATGAAGGAGTGAAAACAGGGCTGGAATTCAGCCAGTACTCACTGGTACAGCTGTGTATTAAAATACTGAAATTCGTCTCTACAGATTAATAAATAACCACTGCCCTCAGTGCCTCCTGCCCCAACTCACTGTCCCAGCCCCCTTGATGTCAAGGCTGGGGCTCCTTTAATCTCTTGCATCCAGCAAGGGGCTTCTAGGACCCTGCCGTGGTGTCTGTCCGATTGGTTGTGTCCATTACTTAGTGTTAAACATTTTGAATATCTCCCTCTGTGCCCACACAGAAAACTCAGAAGATCAATTATATGAGTTGCACTGAAACTCTTAATCAATTAATTTTGTCTGCATTGATATATATAAGTCTTCTTGGAGCTTAATTTTTGCTATTGGCCCTTCTATTATTGCTTTAGGAGCTTCATACTAATGCGAGATGAAAGAGACAGACAGCGTCATCAGAAAACAAGTGTGAGGGCCCACAGGCCCATGCTGGAGATGAGTTTGGCCATATTCAGTTTTATTAAACATCTTGAAGCATTTAAAACAAAACATTGCCCTGTGGAACCCAGATGCATATAGCCAGGTGTTTTTCTCTTAATATTTAAACCCATTTTATGGAAGATTTAATCCATATGTTAAATCTTTGACTTCAAAAGGCATTCCTTGAAGGGCTAATAGAAATGATGAAAAACGGGTCTAAAGATTATGTTCAAAGATGTCATTTATGGATTGGGGGTAAGGGTCTGAGGAGAGAGAGAGAAACTTGGGGGCTTTTCACGAAGTCATTTAAGTATGTGAAGTGTTCTAGAGCACAAGGGAACTCTTGAAATTTCATCATCATAGAATCTTTTTTCATTCCCAAAGAGCATGTTTTTGAGACAGTGCATAATATAGCTATTTGTTCTCTTAGACACATCTCAGGGAAGAAAAAGAAGTTAGGAAAATGAGCCCATTGTTTTTCAAAATTAGTGACAAACTTCAAAATAATTCCAAACAAACCTCAAATAAAACATTTTCCCCTACTGTGAATCCCATTTAAACTGTTTGGGTCAGCCTGTTTTAATGAGTCACATTCACGCTGACACATCCACACTCTCCAGACAAAGACGACTGTACCTCTAAACCCATTTAGAAATGATAGATGACTGTCAGCTTTGTGGAAGCAGCACATGCAGCGGCTTGATAGCGCAGAATGAAAGCAATCTACAAGTGCAAGTCTGTTTCTTTTGGCAACGGAAGGAGTTGCTAATGGATTCATCATTTTCTGTTAAGCATGAATGTCAAACAAAAAAACATTTAGGGCTCTATTCAGCTGAATTTCCGGCTCGACGCTTGCCAGCTATGGGAGCCCTGTGACTTGGAACCTGCGCAGCTCAAGCCCGATTCCTGTTTCCAGAGTTCCGTGGGGCCAGTGCCACGGAACTTGGATTTCTGCCGAGGGCTCCTCCTCCTCTCTTCGCCTCCCCTCGCCCCTTTTCTCTCCAATCGCATGGAGCCGCCAGGGAATGCCATCTATGGAGCAGGCCCGGCTGCCAGCTCTTGCACCAGCTGACTTCACCTGAGAATCCCATAGGAAGTCCACTGACACCACTCAAGAAGCGATGGCAGGGTGAGGACTTCTTGTATCCAGAGATTCTGGGGCCTTTATACCTTGGAATTCGGTGGGTCAAGTGGGCACCACACACTTCCTATTTAGGGGTCATAAATATGCAACATGTCCCAGGCCCTTTCTACAAACGAAAAATAAACACAAAAATAATAACAGTTGAAGTGCCTGGGCTCCAGAAATGTGACGTTCGTCTCTGAATGGACCTTGAGAGCAACTGGGGAGAAATTCTGGCCTTAGAACACAACCGTTTTGAGATCCTTAACCGCAGAAGAGCTCCCTCCCTCTGGGAGAAGGGCTTCTTCAGCTGAGCACACAGGGGACAGCTGTGGGAGTGTGCGGAGCTCACACACATCAGGGGCGCCCACCCTAGCAGGAGAGAGGTGACAGACCCCGGGTCCTCACGCCAGGCCGGTGCCAGCCCTGCCAGCAGCTGTGTGATCTTGGCTAAGTCTCTCCACCCCTCAGTACCTCAGTCTTATTGCTTGGTTGTTTTTGAGGATTCAGTGAGATCGCATGAAATCGGGAGGGTAAACTATAAATCACTACACAAGTGCATATTGTTATTAACTGAACTGTTCTAAATAATAAAATAAGTTAATGATAAATACTAGGAGCTAATGTAGGATGGAAAGAGAGTTCAGAACAGAGAAGCGAAGAGACGGATTCCTGGCAACTCCATTTTTTGTTCTTCAGTGTACCCTTTACACTGAAAGGGAAATGTTTATCCCAATAAGTAACACTTTGACTGTACGGTGCCATGGATTTGTACATTGCTCAGTCTTTGGAAGAGATCTAGAGGGCTCTCACGTCTCCAAATATCAACCCTGATGTCAATCATTTCACCGCTCTAGCTTTGCAATTCTGCATTTCCCAGCAAATAGGACTCCCCTCACCCAGTTAAAATGCAAACATATGAAAGAAGAGGAATTCATGCTTAACTTAGCAGTTAGCATTTAGCGGTGTATAGCTGGATTAAGATACAAGGCTGATGGCAGTGGGCTAGGGAGGAAGTAAGATACCAGGAGAAAGGAAAGGAAAGGAAGCTCTAAAATCAACCTCACTTTTTTTTGCAGGCATGCCTTGTGCCTCTCTTGTCTTTAATATTCAATGGTATTGCAAGGATAATTGAAATAAATTGTGAAATGTTGCCAGTGGCTTTATAAATTACAGGACGGTAAATGACTTAATGTGACATTGATATTGATGATCACTTCAGCCTGAGGGATAAAGGCAGAACTTGTATAGGAACGAATTGATGGTGTTACCTGAAGATATTTTAATCTAAAATTTTAAATATTACCTCCTTCAGGAAGCCCTCCCTGATCCTCTGGGTAGAATCAATCACAGTATATACTTCAAAATATTTACTTCTCATGCCATTTGTTTGTTTGTATACATTTATTAACTTTTAGGTTCAGGGGTGTATGTGTGGGGTTGTTACATAGGTACACTGTGTCATGGCGGTTTGTTGTACAGATTGTCTCATCACCCAGGTATTAAGCCTCGTACCCATCAGTTATTTTTTCTGATCCTCTCCCTCCTTCCACTGTCCACCTATTGGGGGCCTCCAGTGTGTGTGGTTCCCCTCTATGTGTTTATGTGTTCTTATCATTTAGCTCCCACTTATAAGTGACAACATGTGGTATTTGGTTTTCTGTTCCTGTGTTAGTTTGCTACAGATAATGGCCTCCAGGTTCACCCATGTTTCTGTGAAAGACATGATCTTGTTCTTTTTTATGGCTGTATAGTATTCTGTGGTGTATATGTACCACATTTTCTTTATCCAATCTATCATCGATGGGCATTTAAGTTGAGTCCATGACTTTGCTATTGTGAATAGTGCTGCAACAAATATATGTGTGCTTATAATACATACATGTTAACTGTGAGTTTGACTCTTTTAATTCTATATTCAATACCTTTTTAACTCTATATTCATGTAGTAGCTAGCACATTGCAGGAACTCAGAAGATATTTGTTGAATTTAATAGGTACAACGTCTAAAGGACAAAGTAGATTAGGCAATCATTTTCCTAGTGTATCCAGGACCTGGTCTACCTAGGAATCAAAGCAAAAGATGCTTTTCAGGAGAATACTAAACTCTATAAAGGATTAGTTGCCCTATGATTTTTTAAAATGCTGCCACTTAGATGATACCTTAATAGAATTAAATGGTATTTTGCTGAAGCACTTAGCTAAATGTTATATGCTCATACCTCTTAGAAATATAACCAAACCCACCTAGGAATTATCTATACATACATGACAGTGTATTGGTAAAGCTATATGCCAAATATCACTTTAACTTGCAAAAATGATCAGATTCCTATTCCACAGGGCTGGTTTCAATGAGGAATTTTCAGAATGATGAAACCAGATTTAGCTGGTAGCAATTATTGGTACATTTCGGATGAGCTCAGCATGAAGAATAAGACTGAAGAAAGATTAAGTCTCAAATACTAAAGGAGAGAAAAAAAATGAAAAGAGAGACCGAAAGGGCTTGAAAAGCAGGAAAGGACTGGTTATCTGCAGGATGCTGGTATTCTTATGTGAGATGGTGTGACCCAGTCTGGGTTGGAATGCTATCTCTATGTGATCTGCAGAATTTCTCTCTTGACTGAAGCAACTGCAGAAGAGTGAATTAAAGTCTTAAGGAGAAAAATCAATAAAGGAAAAAAAAAGATAAAAGCAATATGGCTGGAGAGGATTTCAAAAACCATATAAAAGTCTCTTAAATGGGCATGGAGAACTAACCAGTATTTATAAGGGTTTAACAGGAACACCAATAAGAATAGATTTGTTGGTCTCCTTAGAGGAACAAAAAGGCTTCTGGGTGGTTTATGGCATTTAGCGGGTCTTTGTTTCACTCTAGGGTGTGACATACAGAAATGCAGATTGCATAAAGCACTGCCTATAATGACAGAAATTGTTGGAGAGGTACTAGGAGAGAGTTGGGATTAGAGTAACCCTCACGGCTTGCTCAGTGCTGTGGAGGAAGTACAGCACTCCCAGCACCCTTCCTCTGACTAGCTCTTCTGTATTCCCAAACTGGGAATTTCTCTGAACTATATGCTGGAAACAGACAACATACTCTTTTAATCCCAATAATGACACTTTCTCTACTATATCTTTTAAAGATCTGTAAAATGGTTTTTTTTGTTGTTGTTGTTAACTATAAAAAGTGTAATTCATTCCAAACCTTCTATTAGCCAACCATCTTCTAATTTGGTGGAAAGGTGAAGGAAGCAAGAGGGAAAGAGTTGGGGAAATAGAAGTGATAGAAATCTTTGGAGAAAAGGGTAGGGTGTATTCCTATGAGTTAAGGAAAGGCAGGTCAAATAAAATCTAGTGCTTGGGGAGCTAGACTTCAAAATGACCAAGAAGACGTAAAAATGACCCCTCCTCCTCCCCGCTGCCCCGGTCTGAATGTGTGCATGGAGAGCATCTGATACTGCATCCATCTGGTCGTTTGCTGGTCCGTTTATTCATTTAAATACATTCTTTCTTTAGTTCCCATTATATTGTAGGTATTCTTCCTATCGAGAAGCTTTCAACAGTGAAATTCTGGCATTGCAACCATAAATATTCTTAATTAGGAAGAAAAAAAGTGTGTTTTTTGATAAAAGCCTAGAGTGAAACTTTACAGAATCTGGACTGGAAAACGTGTACCCATACAGTGGGAAAAGCACCTGTTCAAGGAACTATGAATAAGTGACTAAGGAGCTAAAGCCTAGATGTGAAAGGAAGAACATAGAGAAGGAAACCCAGGGTGATGGGTTACATAGAAATTTTCACTTGGCTCCATCTGATTCCACAGGAAGTGCTTTTGGTCCTAATGCCAGGGTTGCTTAAGTGATGAGCCCCTGTATCTCAATATGCCCTATAGGAATGGTGAGATGAAATATTTTTGCCTTTTCGTTCTGTCCTATGCTTCCAGACCCTCCCCCACCCACCCCCCACACATTCTAACCCTCACCGGTAGGCTGCTCTTAGTCCAAACGTTCTGTGACTCTGAAATAGGCCATTCCTATAGCCAGTCCAGGTCCATCTGTGCCTTGATGATGATTTCTTGACCTCTGCCTTGTGCTCTGTGTGAAATCCCAGTGCTGACAACCTCTTCCACAGTTTTCACACATTGAGAGTCAGCATTGCTTTGGCCAAGTCAGACCAAGTATAATAATCTATTCTTTCCTCATTGACCGCTAAGAGCCGAGTCCTTCATGTACACATACTGCCTCTAATTTTTCCAGTCACCAACAAGGCTATCATTCTCCTTTTACAAAGGAGAAAACAGGGCTTAGTGGAGCTAAGGAACTTTACCCAAAACCACGTAGCCAAAATGAATAGAATGCAAACCAAGCCTTCTACATTGTACCCTCTTCTTCATGCTACTTCCCCCAATTTCTTCACCTGAGCCATACTGGTGGTGATGGACTTCCAGATGTCACTCCGAGGCTCTCTGGACTGATAGAGTCTTCACCTTACCCCTGTGGACTCCATGCCCCAACTTGCAAAGACCATCATCTTCAGGTGCTGTCAACACTTTGAGTACAATATGCTTCCTATGGCTTGGGTGCCTGTGAAGACCTGCCTTCAGTACCTGCCTCTTCAATGAGTAGGTCTAAATCTCTTCCTGGTCTTCCAGTTT